CACCAAACAACAGCCCAGACTGTCTGATGACTTAAAGTACAACATTAATTGTCTGCCTGAGGTCCAGCAGACCAGCACAGAGAAGAAAGCTCATATTGGTGACACTCCCACTAATCATTTCTCCAACTTTCATTGCAAAAGAGATGATAAATCGTTACTGAATGACGCTCTACAAGGGAAGATTATGTCAGGCTCAGACCTGAGAGATAACTCCAGGAGCACATTTTCTGCTGTATTCAGCCAGAGCTAATTGTCTTTTCGAAATAATTCCTTCCATGATCCCCAGTGAAATATTTCACCGCAGTGGGGTGCTTCTAAACGTAGCGAGCAATCACTTGACGCACCGGGCGATGAAGAGGAGGAGCCAGGAACATACTGGTTAGACGGCGTGTGAGATGACCTTTCAGTTCATCTAAGATGAAACGAGGCCGCTGAACCCGAAATGATTCAGAGTGTCTAAACTGACAGGCGAGGGCATGGCCATGGCAGAGTTTCAGCCGGCTGCCCGGCCTCCACAGGCATCTCTCATGATTTATTGTGAAATTGCCAGGGACTCAATGTGGCGTGCAGGTGAATGAGTTTTGCTAATAAGAGAAGCATTTCTGCTCCACAGAGCTCTTTTTCTATCTGAGCGAGCGTGTATGAAATCAGTGTGCAGTCTCCCACTACCACACGCTCTGGTGGAGGCAGCTGGCTCATCAGTCTACGACTTATCTGATGTTTTAGGTGGGTGGAGAGGCTGGCAGTGAGGAGAGAAAAGAGAAGAAAAGTGTCAATATTGAGGTGTTGAAGGTACCTGTGTTGTTCAACATTTAGATTAAGTGTATGCTGAGTTACTTCGAGTGCTGGAAAATTCTCAACACACAATTCCTATAGATGAGTTGATATTAGACTGTTATATAATATAAGCGATGGAGTTAAATATAGTGAAAAAAACAAATGTAAATGGTTTTTGGTGTTTTAACTGGAGGGAATTTTTCAGTGGTTATTTTATAGGTCTGTTCTTTCATTATGCCGCAGCTTGTGTGTCCAACCATCAAAGGAGATGCTTTCACTTTGAAAATTTGTGTATACTGTGACTTAGCCTGCATTTGTCTTTGCTTGAGAGCAAAAACATAAGAAAAAAAATCAGGCAGTCCCACATTATTAAATTACTGTTTCCTTTGTGTCCCAAAGCTTGCCTGGCAACAAAAGCACAAACCACACATGCGCCATGAACTGCGAGGCCTTACCGATGCTGCAATAGACTGCTGTAAAGGTGAAAAGGATTGTCGCCGCGGCATATGGCAGTGATGCACAAAGTGAATCCTAAGACTGATATGCTTATCTTCATTACAGCAAGGTCTTCTTCAGGGATTTTAAAAATTGTTTAAGAAAGAAGGAATGAAAGTAAGGAGTAATGCGGATAACAGGACAGACATAGAAGTCATCTGCTTTATTTACTTATGTCAAACAATAATACATAAGAGACGAGAGGTCAAAAGAAAACCAACCATCTACATTTAAAATAAAGAAATTTCAGTCCTGAGATTGACAAAAAGCAGGGAGAACAGACAAAATATCTACTGTGATCGTTGGGATGGAGGAGGGACAGTGGCAGTTTCAGCAAATTGAAGATGATGGTTGTGGGGAGATTAGGGGGAGATTGCAGAACTGGAGAGGGTAAGCAATCACTGGGATGCTTGGCTGTAGGCACATTCAAAAGTTGAAAACCCCACTACTAAAGGATTTTACAGCTTTTTTTCTTTTTTCTTTTTTCTTTTTAAATATTCAGACTTCTTAGTTCAAAATCTGAGTCTCATATATTATAATTTTTCCAAAAAAGAAAAAAGGAAGATATTCTTTACATATTTTCATCCTGAGGAGACAAAATCATTTTTAAACATAAATACAACACTGCAGGGAGAACAATAAGAGAGATGCTTTATAGATTTCCCATTTCCATATATATTATTTTCTCAAGGTTGCGGCACCCTCAGACTTTGGCAGCGTTGGTGCATTTGAGATCGTTCGGGAAAAACAGCCCTGTTTGTCCACAGGAACATTCGGAGAGCCTCACAAACAGTGAAAGGAATCAGGAAGAAAATAAGCAAAATCCCCAGACTTTTGAGTTTTGATTGGATACAGCAATATCCCCACAGCGTAAACAAGATGAATATTTGGAGGCCATAAGCTTTCTCAGCTGAACATACATACTTGTGGCGCTGAAGAAATAAAAACGCTCTTGGAATTATGCCCCGCTGCATTGCCTTTCAGAAAAGGGCTCCGAGGCTGTGCCTTTTGGGATAAAGATCCTGATTTATTTCTTCATCTGTGCTGATCTTTTACCTTGCGGTGCATTTAACAGGTGCTGAAAACAAAATTTAAATTCTACGGCGCTCACATGTGACCCATCCAGTTCTATCAGACAGCACTAAAGAGACAGCAGTGTGCTCAACGTTTGTGACAAAACACAGAAAAATCTTTTAATGGTATTGTGCAATACAGCAATAAGGCTGGTGGATTAACAATACAAGCCTCCTCAAAACCAACTGAACTATTGATTAAGGTATTTTCTTGCTAGGTAGGAGCCAAATGGAGAGGAATGGCCTTGTGGATGTAACGTTAAGGAGGGATGCTGGGAAGAACTCTGAGATGAGAGCCCCAGGGGCCCAAGGGCAGCCAGGGGACATGACTGAGGTTGACCAAATCATTGTGGAAGTAAGGGGGTGGGGGGGCGCTTGGGCCTTCTCCCCCTCCTGTCATCTGTAGATTAGAGCAGCGCCAAGACTCTACAGAGTGAGCAGCTGCCTATATATTTTTTTGTCCTTCCCTCCCCTCCCGTTCCCTCTCTTCTGAGAGTGAAAGAGCTGACCCTGCTTTGAACGACCCCGTCTGCTCTCTTTTCTTCTCAGCAGTATTTAAGGCGCATAATATGCAACTAGACCTTTACACTGGGTAAAGGTCCTCGTGGACTTATTGGGATTTACTAAGGGATTTTTACAACCAGCATAAGTCATTTCACCTTCGTTCTGCCCTCGGGCCATCCTTGAGAGCATCTCTCTGCCCTTGAAAATGTGTTAACAGTCAATATCGGTCTGTTGCTACAGCGATAAATTACAGATCCAAATGTCCTCATTCAGACTGAGATTTCTGTGTCATTAATAATTTCCTGGACAAAATATTTGTTGAAGTGTTAAAAAGTTTAAAGTGAAGTTTTTGTTTGTTTGTTTTTTTACTTAGGAAAATCAGATTGAGGCTCAATAAGTCTTTCAGCCAGAGAGGTGATTTCAGTTGGCCTTCAATCTGATATGTGACCGCAGAGCCAAATAGGGGAAGCTTCAACCAGGCACCAGGAATATGGCAATTATCCTGATTACTGATGCTTCGAGGCTTCTCTGGCCCCCAAATCCTTGCCCACATCCTTTCCTCTCTCCAAACCCCCCTTTTTTGTTTTTTTTTGCTGAGACCTGTCACATTGCACAGGACCCATCAGCCAGGCAGAGAACAACCATATAACCATATATAATCCAACAGAAAACAAATCCCCTCGATCAAACACAGCCCAGCCTTTAAAGCAGGCCTCTGAGCCCAGGTGCCAGGGTGCAGTGCTGAGGCCCTCAGAGAAGCCGCGGAGGCTGTGATTTAGCAGCCTCCCCCCACCCACTCACCCACAGAAAACCATTCTATCCTCCTCTTTAACGCCAGCCAGCCAGTCCTAACCTTCAGTTTGTTTAAGCACTGCTGAACCCAGTTGGCCCCGGACAACGGGAGGGTGGGCTTAGATAATGACATGCCATATGCCACTCTGCCTCTGCAGCTGAGTGAGCCATGGCTGGATCAGCCCAGGCACAAATCTATTTGAAATTTAATTCTATTATCCTAATATGGGCTAAGCGTCCATTGTCCAAATCAGGAACAGAGGAATGGACCACAGTTCCAGGGATAAGATGCATCCCATCAATAGAAGCTCATTAATGTGTGTAAAGGACCAAGGGGACAGACAGTTTGGAGCCTGTACATAATGAACGGTGGCCACAAAGGCACAGAGTCACCTTTCGCTAAATAAAACTGTTGTTGTTTTTAACTTTGTATTTTTCTAAATGACAAATGATCGTATTCACGTGGATTTTTTCTGTTTATTCGGCTGAAGTTGGCTTCAAATGGCCAGATTTCTCTCAGTATCTAAGAGGAAATCCTTTACTATTTGAAAGGTGTTTGATTTCAACCCTTTGACTGAATGAATACTCTCTGCTGGCTGTGTCCTGTAGCCAGACGTCACCCAATATTCCCATTAGTAGAGAGGCCTGGTGCCTCAGACCTCCACTGGTGGGAAAGGCCAGACACTAGAAGCTCCACTGCCTCAAGTGTCTCCTCTTCACTTCAACATCATGTGACAGGGTTTAATGCTTGGATGCCGAAGCCAAACGGAAGGGATTTTGGGAAGGGATGTATCTGTAAATCTGTCAAAATATTTCTACAAGACAGAAAATATGCTGGAATCAGACCGCGGCTGGGGCATTAAGCTGTTGAAACAACATGAAAAATTTCACTGGAATGTTAAAGAGGCTTACTGTGCAAATTTAAGCCAAGGGGCTTGGTACTCTTTAGACTGGAATCTCTGTCAGCGTTCAGATACAGTGGCATGCCTACGAACACCATTACCTCAAAATTTAAGGCTCATCGTTAATAATTAAGGGAAAAGATCAAATCATAACGATGCTTCTTCTTCTTTTAAATATCCGTCGCATTTCAGTATTAACGGTTAATGTTTTTCAGCAGTGCTGTCTGTCCCGTATCTTTGGATGGCCAAAGTGTAAACATTTAAAAGACGATCATCTAAATGCACTGCTACTACTACGTTTATCATTACAGCACATTATCCGAGCGATGTCACACACCGTATTCCACTCTGGGTCTCACAGAGCTGCTGTAACAATATCCCAAGCTTCCCACTGCCTTTTAGAGGTCACATGTTAAAAAATAATCACAGACTTCAAAGCCGAAATGTGGCTTCTGAATACATTTTTAAAGAAATTTATTTTACACCTCAAAACAAAAGATGGATAAGGATTAGGGATGTGGTACATTGGGAATGTATTGACAACTGTAGTTTACATTTTTTTTGGTGTAAGCTCAGAGAAAAAAAATGTTAATACAGTCATAATAATTGCACTTCATAAATCTAGACTAATGCCAGTATTTCCCCACAACAAAGCTCTGGTTCTTTCTTCCTCTGCAGTTAATAAATTCAATTTACTACTCAAATTTGACTGACAAAAGAAATGCTAATTTAAGACCAGAGGACTGCTGCACTGATCCAATTTTTCTCTTTCACTTGAGTCCCACTAGGCAATAAAACATCGCAGTAATTTAAGTGCAGTACATTCAAGGGAATCTCACAGTCATAATAAATATTTCACTGCTCTGAATCATCAAGTTAAGACTGGCCTCGGCTAAACGCATCCCAACCAGGGGCTGAAATGGACAATGAAAAGCAGTGAGCTTTGAGTCTCATTTCATCTGATGCCAGAGGACAGGGCATGATTGTTTTCATTTGTTTTTGTTTGCAGGATTAGGGGTGAATAGCACCCCGAAGATATGATCTCCATTTGTTTCCACCACTTTCTCATGATGATAGCACCTGACAGATGAAGAGGCTGTAGTGCTGTAAATACAGTCATAAAGGAGTCACGTGAGAAAATGCTCTCTAGCTCCACTGAAAATCTAAAGCCTCCGAAAATAAAAATTAAATAAGAGGGGTTGAATTTGCAAACCATCTCCCGTACATTATGCAGATATAATGTTTATGGGACCGGTGACTCAGTCTTTCGGTCTTGGTGGTAAAAATCTTGTAATGACAGAATTTGAGAAGAAGAAGAAAAAAAAAAGTCTGAGGATTTTGAAGAACACAAATTTAAAAAAGAAAAAGACAAAGCACGCACGCATGCACTCAGCCACATACACGCATTAACATACATGTAAGGTTATGCAGATAACCTCCCAGTCACATTCTTCATTGTAACAATTCTTTTTCTTGTAATGTTTTTTTTTTCTTTTTTGCAATGTTTTCTTTTTAAATAAGTATTTATTGTATTGTATGATTCCAGTGTTGGTTAGGAAAAAAAACAGCTCTCCAAACAGGTTCTTACAGAACCAAAGCAGCAACTATGCCTCACACCAGGACATAAGAAACTGCACGTCAGCCAGAGGAGAAATTATTAAGTCATCAAAACAAAAAGTGGAAAATAATAAAATTAAATTGAAAAAAAAAAAAGCAAGCATTTGAGACACTTTTCCCCATAGCAGCCAAATACATATAATATACCTACAAATATATCAAACAACAAAAAATAGGTTCAAGTTTTTCAAGTTTCTTAAATATATCATATCCAAACTACCCAATTCCAAACTTCAAAGTTAACAAAATTCAAGCAGTGCAATTTATGTATCAATTATTATAACAGCAATAATAACTAATATCGTACTAGCCTTTTAACTCAACCTTATGATCCTTGTACATAACACCCGAGTACAGCCTATAGTCTTCTCACTTGTCAGTACATGTTTTGTTTTTTTGTCTTTTGTACGTGTTCACGTGTGTGTACTGTTACAGAGTTTGGATTTTGAGAGCAGCCCTAAATATTGGCCCTTTTGTGACCATTTCAGTGACAACCTACACAGTAGCTTCATCCTTAGTATTTAGAATGGGGATACAAGTGGCTTATGCACTTCATGTCAAGCTATGATTCTGGTCAAAACAAGTTCAGGCATGAGAAAAAAACAAAAACAAGAAACAAAACAAAAACAGGAGACCAAAAATATAATTAATTCAAAATCCTATTGGCAAACCACAAGCTGGAACATCAGGAGAATCATGAAATCCCTTTTCATTCCCACTGGCAATCACTACCACTTTTTGTATTTGGGATTTCCACAGCCTACCTTGAAACCACCAAACCTAGGGCCACACAGCACGACAACTGCTCTTCTCTAAGCACCCACACTAGTTAAAGCAGTGGCACTCGCATCAACCCCCTGCCCCCCCTCCCAAAAAAAAACATCTGGTTTTTTTTTTTTTTTTTCTTTTTAAACTTGGAGAATCTTCACAAATTCACAACTCTTGATTCGTTTCCTTTACTTCCCCCTCTATCTGTAAACAGGGAGGCGGATGTGTGCATGCTGGTGGTCTAAGAGACGTGGCACAGACACAGTCTCGTAGCCTTTGCCAAGCATCTGCTCCTTGATGCAGGGTGGGTGGATGTCGTTGATCAGGTACTCCAGAGACTGCAAGCTGCTGCTCAGCACAGACGTGTTGCACAAGCTTTTGCTGGGCAGGCTGCAGCACAAACCTCCCCCGCTGTCTATAGCAGGGTGGTGATGGTGATGGTGATAGTGGTGATGGTGGTGAGGGTAGCCCATCTCTCTGTGCCCTGTGGCCGGCCCTCCGGTGGAGGTGCCCAAAAGCTCCTGGGGATTGTAGCAGTCACTGTCAGGTGTCACCAGCACGCTGTTCCACGGCGGCGCAAAGTACTGACCCACTGAGAAGTTTCCGTGCATACCCACGCAGTTCAAAGGGGAAGAGCTGACTTTGTCCAGCCCGCCTCCTCCACTGGCACTGGCAGTCAGGTGGTAAGGTCTAGAAGAAGAGGAGGACACCTGGGCACCCATAATCCCTCCTCCTGGAACACAAGTTTCCGGGGACTTGCTGATGGCGCCCCCTCCTCCACTGCCTCCACTGTACATGCGGAGCACAGCCTGTTGCTGCTGCTGTTGCTGCTGATGTTGCTGCTGCTTCTGCCATAGTATATAGTCCATACCATCTGCGTACACACCAGTCTTCATCGCCTCTGAGTTCTGAGCCGGCAGCCCCTGACCTGTATATACCATGTTAGCCTGGGGACCCATTCCTACCACATAGCCTCCACCGGAGGAGTTAGAAGAGACCCCCATGACAGCCGCGCCCTGCTTGGAAGGGCTGGAATTCGATGGTGCGGTGGCAGCCCCTTGACACACCTGCTGCAGAGCCTGGGCCTGGCAATGTTGGTTGATCTGGTAGATGATGCTCTGAATGGAGGGAAGGTTGGATTGCGTGGGCAAGGCCAGGCCTCGGCCCCCCGTTACAGGGATCACTGAGCCAGCTACAGTGACATTTGGGGGCACTGACAGTCTGGGGCCTTCTGGAGGCTTTGAGGGCCCAGTGTGGTATACCATTTGGCCATGGCCACTGGCTAAAGTGCTACTACTAGGGGGCGGGTATGGGGCAACAGCTATGTGGGCTGGAGAGAGCTTAGTCCGTCTGCCTTCGGAGTTCTTGAGAACACCTTTTGAAGAGATGAAGGTGGATGTTGACGATGATGACGATGACGAGGAGGAGGACTTAACAATAGCAAGGAGACCCTGGTAGCCCCCTGTGTGGAGGTGTGGGTAGGGACTATAGCGTTGGCCTGTGGTGTCATATCCATTTACAGTCCGGTTAAGGTGCTTGTGCTGGGGAACCCTGATGTTGGTGGGGAAGATCTTGATGGACAGCGGGCTGTTGGCTGTCTTCTGAGCATAGGCATCAAGTTCTGCCGCAGTGGGGTAGCGAGGGGAGTGTGTGGGCACTACTAGTTCACCTGCAAGACACAAAAAAGAAGAAAAAAAAGAATGACTTAAATGAACAAATGCCCGTAGAAGAAGCGAACAGCAGACCTGGGGTTTAATTACCAGAAATATCAAAGAGCCTGACAGCAATGGCATTCACAAAGCCGGGTCAATCAATTGTAATAACCACTGTTCTCCTGGAATAGTAAGATCTGGCAGCAGCACCACGGCTAGATTGAAAGCAGGTTAAAAGATGTCATCGTGACACAAGAGCAGGCGAATAACACAAGATTACAAACAGCAGAAACACTTCAGAGCAAACCCACACAGAGTTTGAAAATTGTAAATGAGGGCTGGCATTCATTTGCGTTCTCTCTCTCGTCCTCCATCTGAGCTTTCCTCCCATCTCATTTTCTCACCCTCCTGTGGAAGTTCATCCCTAGACAAATGGATCTTTTTAAAAACTCATTCTGTCAAAGCCTGGTACCTTAGGCGCTGTTAAATCAGTGCATTGTGAAATTAATTCGGACTCTCTTTAGCATTGAATTGGGTTAGCCTTGGATACCAGGCAAGGAGGGATGAAGGGGAGGGGATAAAAGCTTGTTTAATTGCAGTGGCACATTTGAGATTTATAAGTGCTATCACTTACTGGGTCTTACCCTTGGCCACAGAATTTTCACATTTTTTATTCAGTCCAGGAGTACATGAGAGGCCCTAGCAAAAACCTATTAAAAATCCATGGGGAATTAGTAGCCTGGTTAAGGTGAACTACATGAGAGCAGAGCCAAGTCCAGAATACTTGAGTGATATTTTTTTTTTTTGCTGAAAGTATTTGTTAAAAAGGCAGAAAAACATAAACTCAGTGATGAAATAAATCAAACATTAGTTTTACAAATGGTATGCTCATACGTGACAATGAAATATTTCCAGTATGAGGTTAGAGAAGTAAAAAGCTGGCCTCCGTATCCTTGTAATATAAATTGATGTTACAAAAACTACACAAAAATGCTTGATTGAACAGGAAAAAAAGATAAATAGACGCCAGTATAGCAAATGTCTTCCTCTTACTTTACGTCCAAATTCTCTCTAAGGTTTGACCAGTGAAACCACTCATTTCAAAAATCAATTGGACACTGGTGTTGAGTGAGACTGGCGATGGTCCTCGGTCGTTGAACCAGGGGTTGGCCATTGTGAACTGAGGTGGCAAACAGGAAAAAATGCAATTTCTAAAAACCCCACCATGTGTCATTGTTTGGGGGGGGCTGGGCACGGAGGTGAGGCACTGCAGTGAGATTGGATTTAAACAACATTATTCAGGCAATTTCATGGCTACTTAGCTCAGTGCAACAAAAAGGGTATGGGGGTGGGAAAAGAACTCAATTTACAAGCAATATATCAGCTGCCACAAATGACTTGCAACCCCTTCAAAAATGACTTTTTTATGCAAAAGCTAACAAAATGCACAAAAATTTAACTGCCATAACTGTGCCGTCAGCAAATGTCCTGGCGACCCAAGGCAGTCTGCAGGGTGCAGGCTGTGACTAGGACTCACTCCATTTGCTTTCCGATTGCAAAATCATTTTAAAGAGACTCCACAGCCAAGTAGTCACAATTCTCATTTCTTTGCTCCCATTACAGAAAGCATGGGGAGTTCATTTCAAAAACCCTATGGGTCTCCAACTGTGAAAATGATTAAATCTACAAGATCCATATCATAAAAGAAATAAATTGGGAATTTAACAGCAGACTGGAGAAACTGTGAATATTCCAAGCCAAATTTAGTGCCTGAACTATTATACGCGTGTTGTTTCATCCGACAGGCAACATGCTTTCCAGATCAGAAACTCTATGGCATCAAATTAGGCTTTAAATTTTGTAAAAGAAAGAAAAAAAAAAGTGCTGACATTAATTATTTAATTTTAATTTAGAGTGTCATTCTAATGGGCTTGTCTGAGTATGCCAGGCTAGCCTATCTAAGATCTAACCAACCTTACTGAGGCAAAGCCCTGCTTCCCTGGTGACAGCAGTGCCATTTGCTTTGATGTTCTGACTTGCAGAGGAAAACTGACAGAAGACTTATTTGCTCAGAAGAAAAAAAACATGCTCATTTCAAAGCACATTGCTGGTCCACATGCAAATGGATGGCAGCATTTTTTCTGATCATCTTTACATGAGGGCAAAAAAACATCTTTGATCATCACATGGTCTAAATGAGGAAAGATACTTGGCTTTCAGGCATATCAAGGGCCTGTGCCCTGCCGCCCCTATAAGCCCCCAGCTGCAGTATGCCCATCATTCCACCTAATTACTGCCACATGAGGAAAAAAACTATAAAAACAGCCAGGAAATTCATTAAAGGGTGGCTAATTCTATTCCTTCTCACTGACTGAGCCCATATTTTCCATGCCTGAGCCTGCATTTCTTCTGAGAGAGCGAGAGGAGAAAGCCTTCTCCCTCCGTCTTTTCCCAGCTTGGCCCTTGTTTGTCAATAGGCAGAGCCTTTGGCACACCAACCTGGCATCAAAGGGTTTCACACTTCACAGGCCACAGGGATTAGAGGCCTTTCAGGCCTACAAAACCCATCTCAGCTCCACAAAGGCTTCCGGTTATTAGAACCCATGGGCATAAAGGAAGAAGAGGAGGAGGAGGAGGCAAATGAGCATCTGGATGCTTCTGATTCTGGCTTCCTCTTTAAAAAGTTCCACGGTAAAAATTTTATAGCAAAGTTGATTACAGTAGCCTAAGTATGGCCACAAACCAGAGCATATTTCACTCTCATACACACATTGTTATTCACACTGTGTGTTTGATGTGCGGGGTCTCTGCATTTCTCTCCTCCAGAGCAGTAAGTCTATAAGTGAGGACATGGAGGTTAAAGGAGTGAGTCTCTTTTTAGGCTGGCGCTCTGTGACTTATTGGTTTAGGCTGCAGTAGATCATAGCAATGAGCAGCAGCATACAGATGGTGCGGGCTGATAAACACCCTCTGAGGCCGCCAGTACTGCCTCCTTTGTGCGAGCCCTTACCTCCTCATAAGGTGGGAGGGGGGGTTTCCTGCACCTGTGCACACTCTCTAGCGTGGTCGTGCATGCAAACATCATGCAGAAAAACAGGGGGAAAAAAATGGGGGGAGGCACATTCGCATGCATACACACACCTGCATCGGCAGTTGTGTGTCTCATTTGCCATCAGTGGAGCATGTTGTTATCCTCTGCTCAGCGCTCTCTCATGAAATGTAGGGCAGGGACAACAACAGGTGCCTGTGCGGGCGACAGCCTGCAATGCCTCCTGGGCTAAATGCTTCACACTCGCTTCATTTCAACATGCGACAGCCTTGTAAGGATTAATTATTTCCCCTGGGGATGGAAGAATATGCTATTTCCCTTCCTGAGAGCAGGAGGCTATGTGCACTCACAAGCACATGAAATAGCTCACAGTAAATGAACAGCAAAACCTGGGCAAGCGCTGCTTTGAAAAGAAGTAAGAGCGGAAAAAAAACTTTCACATGAAAGGAATGTAAACAAACCAAGCATAGTGTGATTGAACTGCATTGGAGATTAGATAAAAGCTCAGGCAAACACATGCATTAGTACTGAGAGATCACGCGCCAGGGAGCGGAGATGGCAGGGAGGCAATTAATGGGCTGACCTTCGTCCTTAATCACCCAGTGCCTGGCACACAATGCCCATGTGTCAGAGCAGCACATCTCTAAATGCCACCCCTCATTAGCACGATGCACGCCGTGAGAGAGGGGCTATCTGTGCAGTGCTCCACTCTCCAGCGGTCAGACAGAGATAGCAAGGCAGGGATTGGATAACATGGCAGCACAGCACTGAACTGAGCTGCAATAGGCCATGATATGATCTAGAAATCCCATTTCACTTGGAGGATGGGCACTCTCCTTTCTCTCCATTTTTGATTGGCATGAAACTCCCCAAGCGCAACGTCCTTGGTGTACCCGGTGCTGTCACTGTGATTGCGTGTGTGCTTTTTGTGTGATTGCTCTGTGTGTGTGTGTCTGTGTGCATTTGGTGAAGGGGGTACCCAATTCTGAACACTCAATTAACACTCCTTTAATTAGCCAGCAGTACATTTTGAATTCTGATGAACTAATTTTCTTGGTGTGACGGTGGAAGAGGCGGCAGAGGGGGGAGGCCTGGTAAAGATGAGGTCCACTGGGTACAAAACAGCAATAAAGAGGGAACTGGTTAGATTAGACTGTAAAAAATCCATTAAATTCTGTGCACTTCTTCCAAGTGAGAGGTCAAATTGTGTTGATCACAAGAAGCAAAGGCAGACAGAGAGAGTATGAGAGCATGGAGTTAGGTGAGGTGAAAAGAGGAGGGGTAGCAGGGGAGAGGAGCAAAAAAAAGGAGAGGAGATAGGGAGTCAGAGGCTGTGCGAGAGTGCAGCACCAAATCCAGAGGACCACGAGAATGCTTTGCATTTTAATTAGAGGTTTAAATGAATAAGCGGAGGAAAAAGTCTGAGAGAACTGCCTGAGATGCCCTTGCTCCCATTTATTAGTGTTCCAAGTGTTCTAAAATTATGAGCAGGTTGGAGAAGTTTCTTCTTATTAGCGGAGAAAACGCTCCAAAACATCAAAAAGCCCTCAGCATTTCCTCACTTACTCCTGCAAAGTCTACGTCCCTACTTACCACACGCTTTGATCCCCTCTGACCATGCACACTGGTGAGCAGGGGAGAAGAGCGCTTGTTTAGATGAAGGAAGAGGACCATTTGGTTGAACTGCAATTAGGTTTTCACAGAACAACGAGTGTGTAATACACTCAGACTACGGCCAAACAAACAGAGCAGCCTGTGATGAGGTTAGGGCAAACTACAGGAACAGAGATGACCAGGAAGACGAAAGAAAGCGAGAGGTCAGTCTTAGTTCAGCACCCGCTACTTTCCCTGGGAACCATTTCCCCTCATAATGACAGTCCACATTAAGTAAAAGCATGTCCTCGAAATACTCAGCATATATACCGTACTCATGTGTGCTGGGCCTCTTTTCTTCGCCTTTGCTCTTCA